CAGCAGGGCGGGCGCGGCCCCGAAGGGCGCGGCGGGGGCCGGGCCGCGCGCGGGGCAGCGGCGCTGGCGGGGGATGTGCGTCTTCTGGTGGGCCTTGAGGGACACCTTGTCCTTGAAGCACTTGTGGCACTGGGCGCAGGGGAAGGGGCGCAGGTCGGTGTGGGTGCTCTGGTGCGTGACCAGGTTGGTTTTCTGGGTGAAGCGCTTGCCGCACTGGGCGCAGGCGAAGGGCCGCTCACCTGTGTGCACCCGGTAGTGCGTCACCAGGTTGGTTTTCTGGTTGAAGCTGCGGCCGCACAGGAAGCAGGAGAAGGGCCGCTCGCCCGTGTGGATGCGCCGGTGCGTGATGAGGTTGGGCTTCTGCCGGAAGCTCTTCCCGCACTCGGGGCACACGAAGGGCGCGTCCTCGGGGCAGCCCCGCGCCGGCGCCCGCGCCCGCGCCTTGCCCTCCTCGGGGTGGGCGCCGTGGATGCGCTGGTGCGCCAGCAGGTTGGCCTTCTGCGAGAAGCTCTTGCCGCACTGGGCGCAGGGGAAGGGCCGCTCGCCCGTGTGCACGCGCCGGTGCGTCAGCAGGTTGGGCCGCTGGCTGAAGCTCTTGCCGCAGTCCCCGCAGCGGAACGGCTTCTCCCCGGTGTGGATGCGCTCGTGCGTCACCAGGCTCTGCTTCTGCCGGAAGCCCTTCCCGCACTGGGCGCAGCGGAAGGGGCCGGGGACGCCCCCCTGGGCCCCCCAGCAGCCGGCACGGGGGGCAGGGGGGTCCCGGGGGGGCTCGGGGCCGCGCTGCCCGCCGGGGAACCAGCGGCCGGAGCTGCCGCCCGCGGCTGGAAACAGCTCCAGGGAGCCGGCGCCAATCCCGGGCTTCTCCTCGGGCTCCACCTTGCTCACCCGCCCGGGCTCCACTGCACCGGAGAGATCCCGGTGTTATCCCAGCTCCCGGAGGATTCCGGGCTGTCCCGGGTGGGGAGGACCCGGGTCCAGCCCCCCCTTCCTTGTGGGCCCCTCACTGCTGAGCCACGGGGACATGGGACACCCCAAAGGGCATCAACTCCCCAAGCCTCTCCCAGAGTGTGACACCCCAAAGGGCCCCCAAACCCCCCAGTGTGTGACACCCAGGTCCGAAATTGTCCAAACTGGCTTGGAATGGCAAAAACTGGTCTAAAATGGCCAAAACTGGCTCCCAAAACTGGCCCACAATGGCCACCCACTAGCTCAGAATTACCACAAATTGGTCATGAATGGCGGTGAACTGGCCCAGGATGGCCCCAAAATGGCTGAAAACTGGCCCAAAATGGCTGAAAAAGTCCTTTAAACTGGCTCAGAACAGCCTCCAACTGGCCCCAAATAGTGCTGAACTGGCCCAGAATGCCCCTGAAGAATCCCAGGCTGCCTTTTCCCCCGAGCCCCCCGGTCCCAGTGCTCCCCCAGTCCCCCAGATCTGGACTCACCGGCGCAGGGGCTGCCCAGGGCCTTGGACTCCTCCGGGCCCGGGCGCGCGGCTCCGAAGGGCTCCTCCGGCGGCTTCATCCCAAACAAACCCCCCGGCTTAAAGAACCGGTACCCTGGGGGAACACGGGGCACCGCAGTCGGCACCACCGGCACAGCTGGCACCGAGCTGCTCCCGGCAGAGCCGGGCTCCGGCACGGGGAGGGAGAGCTCCTGGAGAGCCAGGCTCCAGGTGAGCTGGGACGGGGCCATCCCGGGCTCTGGGGCTTTCCTGCAGCCTCTCCCATCCCCGGGAATCCCCAGAACGCTTTCATCATCCCAGTTCAAAGTCCCCACAAAAATGCACCAAGCTCTGTGCGGAAAATCCCACCCCAGCCCCCTCCCCTCACCTGTGCAGGGGTCCGAGGGGATCTCGGCGCCGACGGCATCCAGCTGGGATCCGGCCCGCGGCGCCGGGCTCAGCCGGGAATACGGGAGCAGATCCAGGGCGTGGGCGGGCTGGGGAGGGGGCAGCGGCTCAGCGGCATTTTGGGGTCATTTTGGGATGTTTGGGGACCTTTCCCTGGGTTTGGCCACAGGCCAAGGACAGGGATCGTGACCCTACTCCTGCATCCCAAATGTGAGGTTCCTTGCTCCAGGATGGAGCCTGCATCCCTGCCCCCCAAACCAGACCCCTGCTCCCCAAATTACCCCATCCCTACCCCATCCCTACCCCAACCAAATCCCTGCTTCCCCAGCAGATCCCTCCTCCCCAAACAAGATCCTCGCTCCCCAAAAGAGATACCCAACCCTCTGCTCCTCCAGACCACATCCCTGCCCCCCAAACCAGGTCCCTGTCCCCCCCATCCCCACTGCCCACCCCCCAGACCAGCTCCTTTTCCAGCCAGGACCCGCACAGCGGCAGGAACCCTTCCCGAGGAGCCAGTCCCGCTTTCCGCGGCGGCGGCGGCCTCGGCGCCCCGTCCTCCTCCTCCTCCTCCTCCTCCTCCTCCTCCTCCCCCCGGAATTTGGGGTGCGGAAGGCGCCGAGCGGGGCCGGATCCGGCTGTGAACGGCGAGAGCCGGGAGCGCTGGGAGTTGTAGTTCGGGATGGGAACGGGATGGGAACGGGAACGGGATGGGAGCGGCAGCTGGGAGCAGGGAATGGCCCCGGCTCGGCATCGGCTCGTCCACCCAGAACGGCCCCGGGAGCCGGGAATACGGGAATAGCCGCGGGGGCCGGGAATAGCCCCGGTACAGCAGCGCCTAGAGAACCGGGAATAGCGCCGGGGGCCGGGAATAGCCCTGGCACGGCCTCGTCCTCCCAGGAATAGCCCCGGGGGCCGGGAACAGCCCCGGCACAGCCCCGCCTTGGCAGTCAGGAATAGCCCTGGGGCCCGGGAGGAGCCCCGGCCTGGAATCACCTCATCGGCCGGGAGCAGCCCCGGGAACAGCCCCGGGAGCCGAAAACAGCCCCGGGAACAGCCCCGGGAACAGCCCCGGGAGCCGGGAACAGCCCTGGGAACCGGGAACAGCCCCGGGGCCACCGGGCCGCGCTGCCCCGGGCCCGGCGGCTCCTGCGGCAGCTCCCGGCGATCCCGGCTCTCCCCGGAGCCGCCCGCGCCTCGGGGGGCTCGGAGTGACCCCCGTGCGCCCCAGCACCGGCTCCCTCCCGCGGAAGCGCCGGACCCGCCGCTGCCACGGGCGTCCCCCCTCGAGACTCCAGCAGCTCCTGCGACCCCCGAGACCCTCCCGGGGAAACTCACGGGCGGCCGCTGCCCCGCGGCGCGCTGACGTCACGCGCGCGGTGACGTCAGCGCGCTCGGTGACGTAATGGTGTCAGCTACGGCCGCGCCCCGTTCCGGGTCGGGGGGCGGGGCCCGGGGGCAGCGCCCCCTACCGGCGCCGCGGAACAGAGCAGCCGCCAGGGGATGGGAGGGGCTGGAGAGACCCCGCCCTCCCAGGGTCCCCCCCAGTGTCCCCCAGTACAGCCCCAGTGTCCCCCAGTGTCCCCCTAGGGTCCCTTAGTGTGCCCTAGTACAGCCCCAGTGTCCCCAGTACAGTCCCAGTGTCCCCCCGTGTCCCCCAGTACAGTCCGGGCAGGACCCCATTCCCGGTAGGCAGGACTCCATTCCAGGGGCAGGACCCCATTCCCAGGACAGGATCCCGTTCCCGGGGCAGGACCCCATTCCCGGTAGGCAGGACCCCGTTCCCGGGGCAGGACCCCATTCCCGGGGGCAGAGCTCACTCGTGGCTGCTCCGGGGGCTGGAGCCATTCCCGGGGACAGGAGCCCATGGCCGGTATCAGGAGTTTGTTCCTGGGGGCAGGATGTCATTCCCGGTAGGCACGAGCCCGTTCCTGGGGAGCACAAGCCCATTCCCGGGGCAGGAACCTGTTCCTGAGGGCAGGATGTCACTCCCGGTGGGACATGAAGCCATCCCTGGGGGACTGGTGGCTGTTCCCGGGAGACAGGAGCCATTCCCAGGGGCATGAGCCGTTCCCGAGGGGCAGGAGCCGTTCCCGGGGGGGCAGGAGCCCATTCCCGAGGGGCATGAGCCGTTCTCGGGGGCAGGAGCCGTTCTCGGGGGGGGCAGGAGCCATTCCCAGGGGCAGGAGCCCATTCCCGAGGGGCAGGAGCCGTTCCCGAGGGGCAGGAGCCCATTCCCAGGGGCATGAGCCGTTCTCGAGGGGCAGGAGCCGTTCCCGGGGGCAGGAGCCCATTCCCAGGGGCAGAACCTGTTCCCGGGAGGCAGGAGCCGTTCCCGAGGGACATGAGTCGTTCCCGGGGGGCAGGAGCCGTTCCCGGTGGACAGGAGTCGTTCTCGGAGGGCAGGAGCGGTTCCCGGGACCGGACGGTGTTCCCAGGGCAGGGTGGCATTCCCAGCAGCCCATGACGCCATTCCCGGGGTCTCCCCCCGATCCCATCCCATCCCATCCCATCCCATCCCATCCCATCCCATCCCATCCCATCCCATCCCATCCCATCCCGGCCCCTCCTCCCGCGCCCCGCGGGGTGGGGGGGGTCACCCGCGGGGCCGTCCCGGGGGCGGATTTGGGGGCAGATCCCAGGAAATCGGCTCATGCCAGCCCGACGCCAGCGGCCCGCGGATCCGTGAGGCCGTTGCCGGCGGGATGAGGCTGCCGGTGTCGCTGTGGCTGCCGCTGGCCCTGGCGCTGGCCGCGGCGGCCGCGGGGGCCGCGGGGCAGTCCCCGCTGCAGCGGCGCGTGGTGCGGGACGTGCTGGAGTATTTCCACGGGCGCAGCAACGTGCATTTCCTCTTCAAGGAGCGCGAGGTGGACGGGGTCACCGAGCGGGTGAGGAACGGGATCCCGCACCGGGAGCCGCCCCTCGGCAGCCGGGATGGCCACGGGAACGGGGAGGGGGCTCGCGGTCCCGGGGGAACGGGGAGGGAGGGAGCAGCGGTGGAAGGGGGCATCCAGGGGCTGAGCAGGGATTGGGATCGGGATGGAGGACTGGGGGTTCAGGGTGGCCACGAGAACAGGGAGAGGGGCAGGGAGGGGGCACGGGAGGGCGTCCCGGAGGGGGCACGGGTGGGGCTCCCAGAGGGGGCACGGGTGGGGGTCCCGGAGGGGGCACGGGTGATCGGGGTCATCGAGCGTGGGAGCAACAGGATCCGGGACTGGGATTCGGGTTTCAGGGTCCGGGATGACCATGGGAATGGGGAGGGTGTTGAGGTGTCCCAGGAGGAACAGAGAGAGGGTTGGGGAGGGGATGGGGGTGTCCCAGAGGGAATGGGAGATGGACGGGATCACCGAGCAGGTGAGCTTGGGATTTGGGATTGGGGTTCAGGGCTGGGATTTGGGATTGCGGTTCGGGGCTGGGGTCCGGGATGGCCACAGGAGTGGGGAGGGGGTCGGGTGTCCCACAGGGAGCAGGCGGGTGCCCGGGGTGCCCAGGGACAGGACGGGCCCTGCTGGCCGGGCTGAGCTCGGTTATTCATTAACGGACCCGAGCTGATCCCGGTGTCCCCGAGCCGGGGCCGTCCCGGGGTGCCCCTGCACACTGTTCCGTGTCTGGGAAGGGCCAGGACTCCAGGGACCCCCACTTCGGGCCACGTGCCCATCTTGGAGCCACCCCGGGGTCATTCCTGGGATGGGTTTACCTGGGGGTTTCCAGGATCCCTCCCAGGGCTCAGAGTCCCTCCTGGGATGTGGGGTTCCTGTGGGAGCTTTGGGGTCCCTCTCAGGGGTTGGCATCTGTGGGGTTCAGGGTCTCCCCCAGCATTTGGGGTGGCTCTGGGGGCAGTTGGGTCACTCCTGGGGTTCGGGGTCTCGCCGGGGGCTGTATTCCCGGGGGTTCTCTGGGGTTTGGGAGTCCCTCTGGAGGTCGGGACCCCTCTGGGGGTCCGGGCCCTGCCACGCCTGCCACCCCCGTTCCCGCAGGAGGACCCCTCGGGGACCTTCGTGCAGCTGCGCCTGGGCCTGGCACAGACCACGTGCCGCAAGCGAGCGCCGCAGCGGCACTGCCGCGTGCTGGAGAGCCGGGTGAGGGGCTGTCCCCGCTCCCCGGGGGCACCTGGGGGTCCCTCCTCCCCGGGGGCACATCCCAGGGGGTCCCCTTCTCCCTGGGGCACATCCTGGAGGGTTGTCCCCTCCCTCAGGACACATTCCAAGCTCCCACTTCGGGCCACGTGCCCATCTTGGAGCCACCCCGGGGTCATTCCTGGGATGGGTTTACCTGGGGGTTTCCAGGATCCCTCCCAGGGCTCAGAGTCCCTCCTGGGATGTGGGGTTCCTGTGGGAGCTTTGGGGTCCCTCTCAGGGGTTGGCATCTGTGGGGTTCAGGGTCTCCCCCAGCATTTGGGGTGGCTCTGGGGGCAGTTGGGTCACTCCTGGGGTTCGGGGTCTCGCTGGGGGCTGTATTCCTGGGGGTTCTCTGGGGTTTGGGAGTCCCTCTGGAGGTCGGGACCCCTCTGGGGGTCCGGGCCCTGCCACGCCTGCCACCCCCGTTCCCGCAGGAGGACCCCTCGGGGACCTTCGTGCAGCTGCGCCTGGGCCTGGCACAGACCACGTGCCGCAAGCGAGCGCCGCAGCGGCACTGCCGCGTGCTGGAGAGCCGGGTGAGGGGCTGTCCCCGCTCCCCGGGGGCACCTGGGGGTCCCTCCTCCCCGGGGGCACATCCCAGGGGGTCCCCTTCTCCCTGGGGCACATCCTGGAGGGTTGTCCCCTCCCTCAGGACACATTCCAAGCTGTCCCTCTCCCTTGGGACACATCCTGGAGGGTTGTCCCCCCTGCCTTGTGGCACATCCAGTTCCCCTATAGGGCCCCGAGCCCATCCCTGGGTGTCCCCCTTCCCTTGGGGCCCATCCCTGGGTGTCCCCCCTCCCTTGGAGCCCATCCCTGGGTGTCCCCCTTCCCTTGGGGCCCATCCCTGGGTGTCCCCCCTCCCTTGGAGCCCATCCCTGGGTGTCCCCCTTCCCTTGGGGCCCATCCCTGGGTGTCCCCCCTCCCTTGGAGCCCATCCCTGGGTGTCCCCCTTCCCTTGGGGCCCATCCCTGGGTGTCCCCCCTCCCTTGGAGCCCATCCCTGGGTGTCCCCCTTCCCTTGGGGCCCATCCCTGGGTGTCCCCCCTCCCTTGGAGCCCATCCCTGGGTGTCCCCCTTCCCTTGGGGCCCATCCCTGGGTGTCCCCCCTCCCTTGGAGCCCATCCCTGGGTGTCCCCCTTCCCTTGGGGCCCATCCCTGGGTGTCCCCCCTCCCTTGGAGCCCATCCCTGGGTGTCCCCCTTCCCTTGGGGCCCATCCCTGGGTGTCCCCCCTCCCTTGGAGCCCATCCCTGGGTGTCCCCCTTCCCTTGGGGCCCATCCCTGGGTGTCCCCCCTCCCTTGGAGCCCATCCCTGGGTGTCCCCCTTCCCTTGGGGCCCATCCCTGGGTGTCCCCCCTCCCTTGGAGCCCATCCCTGGGTGTCCCCCTTCCCTTGGGGCCCATCCCTGGGTGTCCCCCCTCCCTTGGAGCCCATCCCTGGGTGTCCCCCTTCCCTTGGGGCCCATCCCTGGGTGTCCCCCCTCCCTTGGAGCCCATCCCTGGGTGTCCCCCTTCCCTTGGGGCCCATCCCTGGGTGTCCCCCCTCCCTTGGAGCCCATCCCTGGGTGTCCCCCTTCCCTTGGGGCCCATCCCTGGGTGTCCCCCCTCCCTTGGAGCCCATCCCTGGGTGTCCCCCTTCCCTTGGGGCCCATCCCTGGGTGTCCCCCCTCCCTTGGAGCCCATCCCTGGGTGTCCCCCTTCCCTTGGGGCCCATCCCTGGGTGTCCCCCCTCCCTTGGAGCCCATCCCTGGGTGTCCCCCTTCCCTTGGGGCCCATCCCTGGGTGTCCCCCCTCCCTTGGAGCCCATCCCTGGGTGTCCCCCTTCCCTTGGGGCCCATCCCTGGGTGTCCCCCCTCCCTTGAGCCCCATCCCTGGGTGTCCCCCATCCCCTGGGCCCATCCCTGGGTGTCCCCCATCCCCTGGGCCCATCCCTGGGTGTCCCCCATCCCCTGGGCCCATCCCTGGGTGTCCCCCATCCCTTGGGACTCATCCCTGTGTTTTCCACCCCCCTTGGGCCCCATCCCAGGGGTCCCAGAGCCCCTCAGCCTCCTGCAGACCCCCTGTCCCCCCACCATGCTGCTGCGGGTGCCGGGTGGGACAGAGGGGACGGTGCTCGGTGCCAGAGGGTCCCCAGGGCTCCCGGGGGTGACATCCCACCGTGTCCCCAGAGGAAGCCGACCTGCCTGGCCTGCTACAAGTTCGACACCGGTGACGTCCCCAAGGTGCTGGACAAGTACCACAACTGCGGCCCCAGCCACCACCTGGCGGCCAAGGTGAGGTGTCCCCAGTGCCCCCCAGCGCCCCCCCCGTGTCCCCAGCCGGTGCCAGCCCCTGCTGTGCCCGCAGGAGATCCGGCAGCGGGACGAAGCCGAGTGCCGGGCGGTGGAGGAGGCCGGCAGAGGGGGGGACACGCCGTACCTGCCCGGAATGTTCGCCTTCTCCCGGGGGCTGCCAGCCTAGGTGGGTACGGGGCGCCCCCGGGGACCCCGCGGGACGGGGACGGGGGGACACGGCCATCCCATCACAGCCCCCCTCCGTGTCCCCTTTCAGGCACCGCGGCACCGACGGACGCAGCCACGGCGGTCCCGGCCTGCCCCGCTTGTCACCCCCCAGCCCCGTGTGACCAAGGAGGGTCCCCGATGTGTCCCCCCCTCCCGCCTGTCCCCGCTCCGCAGTAAACCCAGCGCTGGCTCCGCTCTCACGGCTCTTATTCCCAGCTGGCACCGCCCCTGTCACCCCCCCGTTGTCCCCAGGGGTGGGTGGGCAGTGGGCTCCACGTCACCACTGCCTGTGTCACCTCTTGTCCCCAGGGGTGAAAGACAGGGACATGAAGGGTGGGCTGAGCAGTGGGAGCCCCTGAGACCGCAGGACAGAGGGACACTGGAGGGTGGGACATGTTTAATGCGCAGTGCCACCACGTCCCCTGTCCCCGAGGGTCCCACAGCCGAGGCTGGGCTCCCCACGGCTCCCCTGGTGCTCCCTGGGGATGCTGTGCTGGGCGGGGGGGCTCTGGGGGTACCCCAGCTCCAGTGGGGGGGTCCCTCAGGGGAAGGAGACAGGCTTGTGGTGGCTCTGGGGGTTTCATGGTGACAGTGTGGGCTCTGGGGCTTTCCTGGATCCATTTCTGGGCTCTGGGGGTCTCACGGTGACAGTGTGGGCTCTGGGGCTTTCCTGGATCCATTCCCGGGCTCCCACAGCTAAGGAAATGAAGTTGGGCAGGGGTGGCACTGAGGGGCTCCTAGACCTGTTTTTGGGGTCTCACAGTTCGGAAGATGAAGCAGCTGGACTCGTGATGGCTCTGGGGCTATCCCAGCCCTGGTTTTGGGGTCTCACAGCTCAGGCTGTTGTGGCTCTGGGGGCTGTCCTGGCCCCGTTTTTGGGGTCCTGTGGCTCAGATGATGGTGGCTTTGGGCTGTGGTGGCTTTGGGGTTCTCTGGTCCCATCTTTGGGGTCTCACAGCTCAGACTTGTGCCTCTGGGTGTTGTCCTGGCCCCGTTTTTGGGGTCCTGTGGCTCAGATGATGGTGGCTTTGGGGTTCTCCAGTTCCATCTTTGGGGTCTCACAGCTCAGACTTGTGCCTCTGGGTGTTCTCCTGGCCCCATTTTTGGGGTCCTGTGGCTCAGATGATGGTGGCTTTGGGCTGTGGTGGCTTTGGGGTTCTCCGGTCCCATCTCTGGCGTGCCACAGCTCAGACGATGCCGGCTGCGGCCGCGGTGCCTTGGCGGGGCCGGGCCGCGGCCTCGCGGCGCTCAGAAGCCGAAGTCGGGCGCACAGCGGGTTGCCCAGGTTGCCCAGCGGGTCCCGCAGGCGCAGGCTCTCCAGGTGCCGCAGGCCCTGCAGGCAGCGCAGCTGGCGCAGGCTGCGCAGCCGGTTGCCGGCCAGGTTGAGCTGGCGCAGGCTGCGGCAGCCCCGCAGCGGCTCCACGCTGGCCACGCGGTTGGCGGCCAGGTTGAGCACGGCCAGGGCGCGCAGCGTGGCCAGCGGCGCCAGCCCCGCGATGGCGTTGCCGGACAGGTCCAGCCACTCGAGGTTGGAGCAGTCGGCCAGGCAGCCCAGGTGGGCGATGCCGCGGCCGCGCAGCCGCAGCAGCAGGATGGACTCCAGCGAGAACTCGCCCGTCGTGGCCTTGAGCAGCGCCGGCGTCACCCGCACCCCGGAGCCGTCGTCCTCCTCCTCTTCTTCCTCCTCCTCCTCCTCCTCCTCTGACGGCTCCGACACCTCCGGCTCTGGCGCCTCCTCCCCGCGCCCCTCCATCCCTGCGGGGAGGTCCTGCGGGGACAGCGGGGCTGCGGTGGCACCGGGGACCCCCCGGCTGGTCTGTGGGGTGCCCTGAGGTGTGGGGACACGCGTGGTGTGCGAGTGGGGCACAGGGACACACATGGGGCACGTCTGGGGGAACCGGGGACGTGTGTCGGGGGTGTGGGGCACATCTGGGGGTGTCACCTCCTCCTCCCCACGCCCCTCCATCCCCGTGGAGGGTCCCGAGCAGGGAAAAGGGCTGCGGGTGGCACTGGGGAACGGCTGTGGAAGGACACTGGGCTGGCTATGGGGTGTCCTGGGGTGTGGGGTCACGTGTGGGACACATCTGTGCAGGAACTGGGGTGCAGAGACATATGTGGGAAACATCTGGGTGTGCCTTGGGGATGTGGGGACACGTAGAGGACCCAAAGGCCATTGGTGTGCTCGGGGGACACACGGGGGTCATATATGGCACACAGGGACAGGTCCAGAGCCCATGGGGAGACCCCCACCGGCCCTCACCCCAACACCCCCCAGACCCACCGTGATCCCTCCCCCGGTGCCCCCAGGCCCCCCCATTCCCCCCATCGGTGCCCCCGTT